TATCACCCCTGCACCGCTGACCCTCATTCCAAAAGAATGTGCTGGTTGGGCGACATAACAGGTTATCGCTACTGTGTATTCCAAAAACATTGTGCATCTTTCAGTATTAATTTATCTCAAAACCCAGCATTTTAATTTCTCAGAAACGATCATTGCGGGAAAATTGTGTGCTGGGACTAAGATTTTTTAAGGATCGATGCGATAAAACGATAGTTCGAGGAACGATAGAAGCGGGAAAATGTAACATTATTTTATATGGGATGTATTCGGGACCGAACAAAACGGACGATGCATCCGGGAAAACGATAGTTCCGGGAACGATGGATAGAGGTTTCACTGTATCTGCACAAATCAGTGATTTTGAGAAAATTGCTAACAGAACAGTACCTATTAAGTGTGCGCCTTTGAAAGCAATGTCCAACCTCCTGCTATTGCCCTGCCATCTACCTGATGTCTGCTCGATTTACATACACCTAGACAGAAGACAGACATCATGCGTAAATGAAACGCACATTTTTAATGTAATCCCCCAGAACACATTTGCCTGTTCCTCCTATTATCCTAGTGTTAAGATGTTAAACTAGAATACTCAAAGGTAATCTGTCTTCTCCAAATAGATGTTTATGAATCAAAGTGCCTACGCTTTACATTTTCCAAATTGTATATCATTGAATTCTCACTTGATTCTTCTTCAACAAATTTCTTTACCATTTCTTTGGACATGAAGCACAGTCACACTGATATTAATTTTAATATTCTCATAAGTAATACTCAGTGTCTGAGATGGTCATTCATATATTCAAATGTCATTAGCAACTGTTATCTGTTAAAATAAAATTAGATTATACAGAAAGTACATTAAAAATATTACAGTTTAATGCACAATTATGAATACAGAGCAAGTATTAATCCACAACTTGTGCTGATTTACAAATTATTGAATTTAATGCAATATTATGAATATAGTGCATGTGTTAAAGATCTACAATAGATATATCAATGGGTACATCACATTCTTACCATTTTGTAGAACAAAGAAAGCACACATGAGTCACAGAAAAGCAAAAGAAGACTAATCTTCTAATTATCAATGTACCCATATGCTCACACATGGACATAGGTATCTCCATCTCCAGGTACATATTTCCAAATGGAGAAGCCTGTAAACATGTCTCATCCTTTCAATGGAGCGAGCCTGGCCACAACAAAAAATTACATGCAACGCAGGGTCATTACATGCAAATACATTTGGCACTAAAAGCAAAAATAATTTTTTGTGTATAAGGACAGCATAAGAAATTCTGTCCATAAATGGTTAAACACTGATTTCTGTAACGCTGATTTTCAATAACTGTAAAAGAGATAGTTTAATCACAACCTAAAAATAAATCAGTGGTAAGAAATATGCCAACAAATGTAAATAGCGTTACCAACCTCCACAACATCTTCGGTCAAATCATTAACAAATGTTACTTCAGCACTTCTTCCTCTGGCTGCTTCAGCAGCTTCTTTAGCAGCAGTAATTGCTCGTCTACAAGTATTCACAGTTTTTTGTTTCCTCTTTGTCCTCAGTCTCCTTTTAAGAGGTTCCTCTTCACCCTACATAAATTTTAGATCAATGTGAAAAGACTGTGATGTGATGGATAGTTTGGTTGTGGTATACCACCAATTGGAATGTTTAAATGCTGCAAGAGCGTACACAGGCACCCAACTGGAATGGTTAAGTAACAAGATCACATGGAAAAACATTGTCGACACATATTACTGTTTCTAAGTGGTAACATAATTTTACTTTAAAACACACATGGTATAGTCTGCCATAAAATAATACACAATAATTAAAGCTCATGTTCAATAAATGAAACATACGTAAAATATGATTAGCAGTATGACAAGTTAGTTAGACACATAAGGTTTCATTAATTTATACACATGCACAGACTGTATATCATGTGTGTGTGTGTGTTGCAACAAATTATGAGAGTATGGTACCTAATGAAACACGTATCTCATGTGTAAGCCTGCACAAATTTCCAATGAATTTAGGAGCCACCTCCAAATACTAGAAGCCAGTGTCAAAAATTAAAACAATATTCACATAAATTTATTCACCAACACTCAAGCTGCCACTAATATGATGGAATCAGAATTGCATGGTGTGAATGTGGAAATGTTACGTCACAATATGCAAAGATACAAAACCATCAGAATATGTAAAAAAGTCTAGGCACCATGGTGACCTGATGCTTGGGATTTGTGCAGGCATGATCATATGCAGAGTGTACAATGTGCAATGGTTTTTAATCAAATATGCTAAACAACAACACAATATTAAGTGATATAATAAGTGTAAACTCCTTTTACACATGACCATGGTTAGTACTGATTAAAAATAAAGTAAAATAGAGATAAATTCTAAATACCCATGACTATTAAATTGTGTTACATTAAGTCAATGACTTCAGTTACTTATAAAGAAATCGGTAAATAAATTATTCCCACAATTTTCATCCAAAAAAATTACGAATCTTTTCTTCAAAAATAAAAACATTTAATGGAAGCTTGAATGGTATCAAATGACTATCTTGGGGAGGGTAATGTTCTGATTTTTGTATAACTATATATAAATATCTTACATCATTTTCAGTATCTGAATGTTGTCTACTGATGTACTGCCTCAGAATAACATCCGAATTCTGGCACTGTTTCTTAAATATGTACCAACTGTCTATGTGAAGGGCACATTGGTGACAAATCAAATCTGGTAAACCATCACCAACTACTACCTGAAACAAAACTCCATGTCAAAAGAAAGTATGATAACTAACCTAACAGCTTAATATTCTAACTACACTGTAATACATTTTAAAAGACTGCATTATTTGGATAAGCATGCGATGAAAAAATGAATACGAGGTAATCTAACCTTAACCGAAGCGCACGTCATTATTTTCACTGGTAAAGGCGGAGCCTGAACATCAGTTTTATTATCAAAAATTGGTAACATTTCTCCTTCGTGAGTTAGGCAAAGTCGACATATTTCTGAGAGATTTAAATTTATGTTGCACGCGTCACCCATGTTTAATTTCGTCCTAATAAATAACAAACAGTAGCATTACATATTACATTTACTCCCATTTTCTATCTACTCAGCATTACCAACGGATTACTAAACTGAAACTAAAAATCTCTCTCAAAAATTTGTTTTTGCAAAAGGGGTAAATGTATAATGAAGACAAAAATAAAATCTGGACACGCACTGGAAACTAAGTCGGCATTTAACTAATAATATATAAATATAATTCAGGAACGCATCTGGCAGCATACAACAATGCACCGCAAGCAAACAATTGGCATATCTCACAGTTTGCATACGATTTGCCAATTTAAAACATTGAATATTTTAGTGACAAAAATATTAGAAAGCTCTAAATGCACAATGCTTACATACTTAACAATCTTTATTGCCCGAAACTTATCATTGACCTGATTATTCAATATGTATCATTGAATATCACAGGAAACATTATCCCTAATCTCAACAGCAAACCCGGAACTCAAACTTCAGCAGTTTTCGGGTTCGTGATCTGTTCCTGTAATGCCCTGCCAAAACAATTTTGGTTTAAGCGCCATTCTTCTGTCATACCTAGCGTCCAAGCTACAACAGTACTTTCACCAGGATTCGAACCCACAATACATTTTCTATGTTCTGGTCAATGATCATGTAATCTGAGAAATAACTGGTCTTGACGTCTGTTTTCTATTGTGCTTTTAAATTCAAAATAATATTCCATGAAAAATGTGACTGGATTTGGTTGCATGATGCAAGTATTTAATAATTGCAATACTGCAATTGTAAATGGAACCAGGAGTGGTTTTGAAGAAACTAGGTGGAAAGTGGAATCAGTGACATATTTATATAAAAGAAATATAATGGGTCACAGTATTTATATGAAGATGGGAAGATCAATTTGAAGCCAGAACAGGCATTAGTGCTTAATCCCTGATGATGATGATGAGTATATGAGTATGGGGTGGAGGTGAGGAAATTAAAATAAAATTACTTTAACATTATTCTCTCAATTTTATTAACAGTTTATTTTTCTCGAAAAGGTGCTGGAACACATTACCATTTTATACCACTATAAATAAAGCACAGCTGCAGTAAATGCTTAATAAGATACATAAATAAAAGAAGCTTGTCCTAAATGAATGACAAGCCACAGTTGTAATAATATTGATTGGGCACAAAAAAATTATTATTGCTTCCTTTGTAAGTAATTTTCACTATAATTCAGCATGTTTTATAAGATTAAGTGGTCTGGTACACAGCTCTAGGTTAAGAGAAATGTGCATGAGACCACTATCATTGTTACAACAGCTTTACACTTTACAGAACTTAATTATTAACAGCTCACAAAATACTCTTATTTAAACAGGCTGACAGTTCTGATTCAAACAGAGGTTGAGGATTAAAAAAGCTGTAAGTTCTTATATTTGTATAGTTTTAAAATTATATTTGCATGTAGTTCTGTAAAAATCATATTGTATTCCTTCTTAACACTAGAATTGACAATGCTGTATACTATCTGACTTTTGTACTACATAATTTTTCAGAGTTTCCAGAAAACTGTATTACATATCTTATATTTTGTGGGTGATTGACTCCCCTTGTCACCCTTAGGCTACACCATGTGTTTGACTTTACTGTACCTAAACAAATATCAGGATGCCTTCCAAAATGCACCAGAACTACCCTTGTTTGAGTACAGTAATGTTTATATGCAATGTCAGGTTTATGTAAAAGTTAGTTGGTTGTTGCTGTAGAGTGTATCCATACAACAACATATTAAAAATGCAATGAATTTGGTTAGGTTACTACCCGTTACAGGGACTTAAAATTAATATTGTATCATTTATCTAATACACCATTAACATGTTTATCCAATATATTTCTGAGCAACAATAAAGCCAGTTAACTTAGAATAGTGAATATAGTTTATATCATTCAATAGACATGAGGCTACCCCACATGTATCGGCATCCGTTTGATTTATGAGCTAAAGCATAATAAAATTAAAACAATGTAACAATTTTAACAAGAAAACCTATTTTATTTACTTTCTTTTATAAAAGTTTCCTGATATGTACACTGTTCCATCACCTGATAATGAGGTTATGGAAAAAGATGAATCTTACATACTAAGAAGTGTGGATATATTATTATAAATCATATTCTAAATTCTGATGCATGCTTCACAGAAAAATTTCCCTTTTTGAGGGATTTCTAATGAATACATCTCTAGAAATCTTGGTAACTTTATACCACCAGCAACAAATGTGAATATATTTTATTAAAACTATAACAGTATTTTATATATATATGCTCTAGATACACAAACAATAATTATCTTTAATAACAACATATCCTCAGCATTCAAGTAAAACAATTATATTACTTATATTCTAGTGATATGGAGTGTATGTTGATTTCACAGTATAAAAATGTGACTTTTGTCACAAGGTAGACAGAATGTAACATTTATTAAAAAACCTGTGGATAATTTCACTTATGCCTACTTGTAGAAACTTATATTTATGTTTCCTAAATAGTTCTGGAGAATAAATTGATAAAATGTCTTGTCTTTATTAGTCAGAAGCATTACATGAAATAAAAATGAAAAGACTTCTGAAAATGTAACTGGCAAGGATCAGTTTGAGCTATTATATTCTGTGGGCAGGGTAATAAGAATCTACAGAAGGTATTACATTAATATTAAAACAATTTTAAATCTTTCAGTAAAATGAGTGAACTATGAACCACTTTACCATCACATAGAAGAAACACAAGCACATCATGGCTGAATGTAAGAAATCATTCATTTTTAAAAAAGTTTTTGACCACTTGGACAAAGTGATGCATTTTCAGGTAGAGCTCCAAAATTGTACATGCTGCTAGAGACTCCTGTCTCACATTATCACTGATGGAGTAGGTTCAATCCACCACAAACAGGTATTAAAGTGGCATGTGATTTATCCAGTTGGCTCTGTGAGCAGGTAAGGTTCTTTATTTGCAATATGTGGCCCTTTTATTATCAGTACCTTCATTAGACATTACATATTGCCCATTGTATAGCCTCTCATACTCCTACCATGCTTCCCCTTATGTGAAAATCTGCAGCCAAGATAAAAGAATCGGACAATAAATTCACAAAACCGACAGAATGCTGGAAAGATCAGCTTTTATCCTTTCCCAATACAGAAATATGAGTTTTAATCTGCAGAATTATACACAAGAACTGTGCAATGGCAGTAGCAAAAAATGTCTTATGTTTAAATATAAAATTCTACACCTAACATAGTAATTTCAAGTGTAACATTCAACCAGTTTATACAGATGCTTGCAGGTAAAATATAGCTTAACTTCTACCATCCTTGGAAATCTCACAGTATTTCTGTTTAGAATCACTACCATGATTCATGAGATCCTGTAAAATTTATAATATTCACACTGGTTTCTGACTAGTACCCTTCACTGGATTTAATCAGTCAACCTGAAGTTGGCGGAAGCTACCAGCTATGCCAGCTAGTTCACCTTCTATGTCAGCGACATATTTTCCTTTTGGATTCAGTTCAATTTCCATTTTATCCAGTGCCTTTATTGCTTCATGTTTCTCTTGAAGGCGCTTCTTGAACTGAGCTGTAAAAATTAAAATAAATGTCAGAGTTACTAAATTGTTATTGCAAGGTCCTTCATGTTCAATATAGTTACTTAATTTATAGAAGATATTATTGGTGCTGAGAGATGTTATAAGAGAGACAAATTGTGATTGTTAGTCAGACTTTGTGTAGTCTCATGTACTAATACTGAGGCTGACACATAGGTACAATGAAAGGCCAAAGAGCCACCATATGAGTCTTAGTTATTCACTTCTTCCAAATACTCTTTCCATTTTGAATGTTTAAATAAGCTTACAAGGTCATATCTTTTGCATTTAAGGTCACACACAATGGGTTATATTGAAAATACCAAAAAAAAGTATTTAACTTAGAACCATGTAGTTATTAATTGACTTAATGACAAATTCCCTGAGAAAACAGAGACTTACCTATCATGTCTGCAAGAGGGACTTCTCCTCCATACTCTTTAGGAAGGATTTTTGGGTTCACTGCATCCTTCAGGTCATCAATGCTTGCATGCAGCTGTAATATGAGAGTTGGTATAATTATTTATAAATGAGCACAGCTATCTTCATACTCACCATGGTGATAACCTCAAATCCTATTTGTAAATGTTTTGCCAATTTTTAAATATATGAATGATTTAAATTGAGGCTGTCATCTTATCTAGTATAATGTTCATATATAGGTCTAATGAAATAAAACATGATGGCATATTACAATAAACAATGAACAATGATGCGAATTTAAATTTCAATAAAGTACATTTTGTTAAAAATATATGCAATCTTCTCAAAGAATTTCTTTGTCATTCTTTCATATTATCTACAATTTACATTTCCAAGGCTATTATATTTATAGTAACTTACAGTTCAAAAGTTTGTTTATAGCTACCAACAATGCAATGATTACTAAGACTGTAGTACATTTCAGGTAGCCACACACATATGTGCAAGAACAACAATGATTTGTAAGATAAAATTTGAATTCTTTGGCAGCACCTATGGACAATGGGAATATTTTGCATATTAATTAGTTGTTTGAACAAACATTCTTCTTCAGCTTTCATCGATTAGGCCCTGTGACCTGTTCAAATTTACAAATAACTTCTGGAATTATGAATGCTTTTAGATGTTTTGCAGAAATCGTTGAATAGGAATCAGTCCACCAAAAGGCCTCTACCTACACAGCACAACCCAGCACAGTACAAGACAGATAAACATGGACAAACATCTTTGCCTTGAGTGGAATTCAAACACGCAATCCTACTGTTCAAGTGGTCCAAAGAAATGCAGACCTCAGATGAAATTGCCACCATTACTGTTTCATCCTTTATTATTGATTATGGGACTAAAATGCAATTAGGTTATTTTCTAGGAAGCAATATTCTTTTTCAGTATGATGCTAAGTATCTAATTACAATCAAATAATTATCTATATAACATCTGACGTTCATACAATCAAATGGATTAAATGTCATTCTCTTCTCACTCACCATGATACGATTCTTGAGTTTTGTATTTAGAAGTGCAATAAAAAATTCAAAAACTTTATTGGCATAATGTGGAACATTGAAGAAGTGTGTTGCTTTGTGGCGCATTGGTGTAGAATTCTGTAAGCAAAATCAGAGTTATTGTTGTTTTCATACAATACAAAAGTACAGTTTACTATTATAACATACAGTGCATCTCCTAGTATATTACCCAAATAAGAATGGTGTGAATACTTTCTCTTTAGTCACATGAATGTCCAGTGAAAAATAAGTTTCACATTATTAAAATTATGATATCTATTTTCAAATTCTTGAAATAGCAATATTTAGCATTAGCAATCAGAAGATCCTTGTTTTAATGGTTATGATTGATGCTATGTAGTATGATTTATTGACAGCAATATTAAATAAAATGCTAAAAAATAGATGTGAGTATATATATATCTATTGCAATATAATTTCCTTTTATAGTTTATGAATATGTTGCTACGTAAACTGAACTAAACTTCTTGCAGTAGAAACCAAAGACTGGATTTCTGCCATATTTCATATTTCCCAAAATTACTGTTTTTAACAGCTACAAAATGATACAGAGTAAGACTTAATATAACAGCTAGCTTCTAGGCATGATGGTGACCACTCAACCCCACCTAGTGCCAAGGTAAAGAATGAATAGTAGCTATACCTCCACGCCCCCCAAATGACCTACATGGCATGTAGCGGGACTTCTTTACTTTTGCCCTGTAATACATTTTATAAAGTTTGAATTTATGAACTTATTTACCTGTATACACTGCAAGATCTTGCGTATATCATTCAGAGACCACAAACTTATGTGCCCCATGGTAAGTCCAGACTCATCGTTGCAATAGGAATATCCTCGGACTTGGTTCTCTTCATCATCCATGAGACACTCGACTACCAAGCTGTGGCATCTTGCCATGTGCACTGATGTGTACTTGTAGGGATCAAAACGTGCTGTAAGCATAAGAAAAAACAATGTTATCAATTGTAAAAGCTTTTTCCCTTGCCTGTATTTGAGACCATGTTTCTGTATTTAACTTTCCTCCTAACTGTAATACAGCTTCATCTTCTTCTTCCGTTTCTTGACCGTTACTTCGGGTGCCTAATATTTTCTTCCATTCTTCTCTATTTTCCCATCCTTCCAGAGGTAGCTTCCACTCTATCATGATTCTTGTAATTCTGTCATTCCATCCTGGTCTCAGTCTTCCTCTTCCTTCTCTCTTTTGGTTGCCATTTGATAGTCATTTTTGGTAACCTTTCCTCTCCATCCTTTGCAAATCAGTTGTCTTTTCTCTATCTCCTCTATTATATCTCAATCCACCCTCATGATTTCTCTAATCCTTCCATTCCTCACTCTCTCTCTTCTGGATATTCCAGCTGCTCTTGTTAGGAAATCCATTTCCATTATTCTCAACTTATTTTTTCTTTGTTCTGAGAGTTGCCATATTTCTGCTCAATATAGAGCCATGCTTTGTACTATTGTTTTATATATTCTCTCTTTCGTTCTTTTTGTGATATTTTTGTCCCATAATATTGGGTTGAGGGCTCCTATGAGTCTCCTTCCTTATTTTATTCTTTCCTCTGTTTCAATTCCATACATCCCTTGGTCCCCTATCATCGCTCCTAGATATTTAATCTTTTCTGTCCTCTATTAATTTAACTTTCCTTCTAAATATAATACAGCTTCATATAACAGTTTAATGTGTGCCTCCCTCAAAGAAGTTCAGTTAAGAGAATTTAATATATTAAAATATTGTAGAATAACAATTTTACTCAGCCTTCTCTGTATATTTTCTTTTTCAGAAAAATAAATGTAGATAATGTAAATAGAGATCATTTTTGGGATATTAATTTTAATCCATTGTGACTGATATCAGGCTGTTTATGGTAATAAAGTACATTAATACTAAACTTTGAATATTTTGGTGACTGGGGCAGAATCAGACTACAGTGTAGTCTTCTGAAATAATAAACAAGATGAGCTCTTAGTGTGTAGGTACTTACCAGCACATGTTAAGATGACTTGCCTACCAAAGTCATCTCTTTGCGGAAGAGGCACAATGTATCCCTCTTCGAGGAGTTCTGAGACAGGAGGATCATCGATGTTAAGTCCTCGAAACCAGTGAGGGTACAGCTGACGGATCACGAGGTAGCGCTCCAGCATTTCCTGTGCTAGTGGAATGCTGAACTTCTTGGTGCGCAAAAAACGTAACAGAAATGCCGAATCTGTGGAGATGGACAGCAAAATTAGATGTACATAATTCAACATAAAAATGTTGAATCATGAACAAGATGTGCAGTCAGTTATGAAAAGAAAATATGTAACAATTCAAAAAGTAATAGTGACACAGTAAATATTTACACATTTCAAAATTATTGTAGTGTACGGGACATAATATTATATTCTGTACGTAACTTTTCCATAAGGAAGCTGTGGAATTTGCATGAGCTACAGGTCACATAAACTGTAGAGAGACAATTTATAATTTTGTGAAACCAGCTTGATAAATGTCTGTTGAATGATCTTAATTTTGTTGTTTCTATACACCAATAATATTTTATAACAAGCAAGGAAATGGGTGCACAACATAATTCTGGCAAGTTCACCAGAATTTGATCTTTAACCATTGTGAATGGCAGGGAAATTCCCCATGTGAGAATTTTGTAGGTGGGTATTCACCACCTTATCACTTCAAGAATGCAAAATTATCAATAACTAATTCCTGATTTTAACCAAACTAGAATATGCTATAAATTTTTTTAGTAAAAGTCCCCTGAAAAAATTGCACAGAAATATGTTCAAGCATTCTTGAGTTGTTATATGCATACAGACTGATGGACAGAGTGATTTCAACCGGCACTTCATCAGGTTGTAAACACATGTATAAAATTAAATAAATATTTCATCTTTACCTAGCCAGAGCGGCACTTAAAGCACTGTCAGTGAGAAGGGCATTGACTTGTTAACAATCCTCTTGTGTCTTAGATGTTTGTCTTTTATGTCTGGCTTTTGTTTAAATCTTGATGATATGACAGAATACTGTTTACAGCAAACCTCTTGCATTAAATGATGCTGTTATTGTGGGTTTTTTGTACGGCATACCTGTACGACAACATTTGATATCTGGGTGTTTTTGTATCCAGTCCCTCATTTGTTGAAGCGCCTGCTGACGTGTTGCATCATCCTCACGCAGTTCTGTCTGTGCAAGAAGACGGAGCTCGTCATTCAGATGAAATTCTGAACCATCATCGTCAGGCTTGGGCATGAAGAATGGGGAATTTTCTCTATCCTCCCCCACACCCATTTCAATGTCTAAAAATTTAAGCAGATAACATATTCACTTGAAGCATTCATGTAATTAGATTTGTCAAATTACATTTTATGGCATTACATGTTTTTATAAGGGTCCACAGTGGCCGCACGATCTGAGTCGTGGGCCTTGTGCCGATTGGTTGCTGGAACTGTGGGTTCGAATCCCACTCAAGCCATGGATGTTTTTCTGTGTTGTGCTGTCCTGTGTACAGATAGAGGCCTTGCAACAGGCCGATCCCTCATCCAAGGAGTTCTACCGAATGTCTATAGATGAAGCCAACGAAAAGTTGGGACCCGCAGTGCTCATGCACTTGAAGAACGGGTCGTTCCCAGTATCCCAGTGGTTAATTTATTAATTTATCTATCTATTTAATGACACCATGCTATTTATCAACAGTGATACCAGTGTTCAAGTGAAGAATGAAGAGATTGGTGGAATAACTGGAAGGAGAAATCCCAGACACTCTACTAGAACAATGTTTATCACAAGTTCAGCACAAAATATTCATCTCTTGGACTCAGGTTTATTCTATGGAAGATCAGGATGCCAAATATAAAGTGCTGTGTTTGGACCCTATGTTGTATACTGGGCATTACCTAAGAGCAAAAATCCTCAAACACGATAACCGGTCTCTGGACCGATATTTGAACCCGGTGTCTCCTCAGTATGCAGCAGAAGTGCTAATCACTCGACCACGTTGTTGTCTCGGTTTATCATTTGTAGCCAGTGTGAAGTTCAAATATCAACATTCCTTAGCAAAATACAATTTAATTTGTTGCAAGAATGATGTCTCTTAATTTGGTGCCTTTTTTATACACTGCTAATACATGTAGTGAAATTAGAAATTATTAAATTACTAAACATTATTAAAATTCCGCAGAAACCATGACTATAGCTGGAGCAGAACTAGCAGCCATAAAATACATATTTTTGCTCTCTTTGTGCTCCAATTACTTTGACTACAGAGATCAGTTATATTACGTGAGTGGTTCTTGAATCAAATAAACCGATTTATTAAAATACACCATCAAAGGTTGCAATAAAAAATATATCCGATGATAGTGTACTACATGTTTTGATAGTGTAATCTCGAGAAGCAATATCGATAATACTCTTTCTAAGAAACTATAACCATTTCGGTTTGAAGTTTTAAACAATTAAACGTATGGTTTTTACACAAAACTAATGAACACTTAATTATATCTCAAGGTACGACCTGAAGTGCTCTGGGTTAAGGAATTCTAGTTACAGACTAGACGCCGAGAAAATTCTGGTAAGTTCGCCATCTATTGTTGTTTTATTTCAGTTTGTACATTAGATGCGCCTGTTTATTTATAGCAAGGCAATTATGGTGGCAATCCAGTTTGATTAGATACTACATCAAAAATTAAGAAATTGGACTTGTCAACTTATTCGAATTGTTAAATTTGAAAACAATATTGATTACATTGTGTAATTCCTGAATAATAATGATTAAATAATATGGTTCGACGACAGGATCTGCACATGGTTTGCTCCAATAATTCGATCATACCGGACTTGCAAATTATTTGGTTCAGTATTTGTATCATAAAGTATCTACATCGAATTAAGTAATGAGATTGGTCTCCTAATGCACAACTTCCTACAGATTAAACAATAATAAAATAAGTAGTACGGCAATTTGTTCACATTTCTTTATAACCAGTCGGAGTGAACGAGAAACCGCTTCTATTAATATATTCGCATCGTGACCAGTACAGTCTGTCGTTTGAAACAGTATTCATTGAGATAAGGGCGATTAATATCTTATTTTCAAATCGTAACTTCTGCAAGCCAGCTATCGGTTCACGAAATTAGCATCCATAGGAAGACTAGATGAGATAAAATAACTGATACAAATATAATACCAATCAAATAAAATGTGGAGATGGATTAATGGAAGAAAGTAATTTATTGTTTCACGGGTTTTTTGTCAGCTGGCCCTGTTGAGAAGCTCTGGTGATCAAAATCTACAAATAATTAATCGAAATTAGTGCAACTATAGGAAATTTCAGTCACACACAGAATTCTTATCATGCTGTTTCGTATCCTATTCCTATCGCGATATCATTGTCTGGAATGAAATGTTAACAATAACTATCACAACAACAATTCTTTCAAAGTTCAGCAGCATCAACGAAACACGCCCGAACGAAGAATGAACCCAATTTTTAACGATCAAACTACTTTCATATTCACATGAGAAGGTGAAAATAATTTTATGGCCACGATAACAAAATAACAAACAAACAAGAAAATGTTAACAAAAAAAAGTAAAATGTATAGTGCAACTGACGGGTTCAGAACAATCTGGTGGTGTCACCTCTGCGACATCACGGATCAGAGACTTTTATTGTCGATGTTCGTAGAGTGGTAAGAACTCTCACCACGATGTTATGGCCATAGCTGCAGTTACTAGAAAAGTTTGTATTAAGTGAGAGTGTTCGTCCTGTGTGCCCACTAGAGGAGAAAGTTAACAAGTCGGTAATTCTCGTTTTTCGTGTTTGTACTTTCTCCGCCTTCTGCTTGCATCTCACGCCACGTACCCTTCTGCATGCTCATAATACCACACAAGTGCAATTAAAAGTCACGAAGAATGGCATACCTCTGTCAATCGATTTTCGTTGCTTGTGTTCAGAAACAAACAAGACTGTTCTGGTCGCAAACATCAGAAGCATATGTAGATGTGTATAAGTAGGATTCTAATGGCGGTGAGTCCAGTCCAGTAGAAATTTACCGACGTTTCAGAGGTACATGCTGCCTCTATCATGAGGGCGACGAATAATTCGCGCGTCAGGGCTTTTGGTTACAGTCAGCGGCAGTGCACCGCGGGTTCAGGAACCCAATTGGTAC